GAGACGTGTTAAAATGATCATTTTGTACAAACACTGCTATATTCTGAAATGCCAAAATATTATACTTGGAATCGATCAAGAAAAAAATGTATGCGAAGGAAACAAAGAAAACCGGTTCCAGGTTATTCAGTGTATATACAACCGATGCAATAGGTCGAATTTATTCCATTTATCCAAGCAACGATAAATTTTTTTATTTACGGCTGCTATTAGTTAAGATGCATGGCCCAACATCATTCCAACATTTATGAACAGTTGATGGTGAATTGTGTGAATCTTACAGAGAAGCCTGTCATCGTTTGCAACAGTTAGAAAACGATGTACATTGGGTCAAACTCTCAATGATGCTGTAATTTCATCACAAGCTCATCAAATACGAATATTGTTTTCCATTGTCATATGGACATGCTTACCATCAAAACCAATTGATTTGTGGATAAAATACAAATATAATATGTGTGACGATATTTTATTTAATATATGCAATAGGATAGGGAATCTGAAATTATAAATAAGTGAAAAAATTTACAATCAGATATTGATTTTCATTGAGGATATGTGCTTGATGATGTCAAACAAGCTATTATGTCAATTGGGGATGGTCGCACCCAGTCGCCCAATGCACGATGCTTTTCATCGTGCATTGATGTGTGTCATGTTGCAAAATGATCAATCTGGTGACATATTCTCTAAACAACTCATTGATATTAGTAATGGCAAATTTCCTATCGATGTGCTGACTAGCTGCATTATCTTTCCTGAGAGTTTTTGTCTGTTAACGCAATTAAAAGCTGAACTCATTCAAAAATTGTTTCCAAATGTTGCTCAAATTATATATTCTATGATTGGTTTAGCGAACGAACTATACTGATTTCAAAAAACACTGATGTAAATGAATTAAATTTCAAAAATTAAGATGATATTCCTAGCGAAAAAGAAAAAACGTTTTGATACCCCACATCCCAATGATTCCGAATGACTTACCATTCGAGTTTAAACGAATACAGTTTCCAGTACAGTTTGGTTTCACTATGATTATAAACAAATCCCAGGGACAGTCATTAAGTGTTTGTGGTAATAATCTAGAAAAGTCATGTTTCTCGCATGGTCAATTGTATGTTGCTTGTTCCCGTGTTGGAAAACCATCTGCTCTGTTTGTTTACGCGCTAGGTAATCAAACAAAAAATATCGTGTACCATAAAGTACTAAAATAAAAATGAAACTATATTTAGAATAAGTAAAAATAAAATGAAATATATTAAGTAGGTATCATAATAAGAAATCTGAAATTGTAATTTTCATTGTGATTTTTTAGTGACTATTAAATGGATTTTAAGTGTTTTATAAATTTTATTTTTTGACATAATGTAACTGTTGACTTATCAACTTTATTTTTATTTTTTTTTTATCTTACTAGCCCGGTATCCCAGATAGTAGAGAATGACTATAAAAAAAAAAAAAAAATCGACAGTTAAGCGGTACGAAGTTAGCCAGGTCAGCTAGTATTTAATAAATATTTACTTACAAATATAAATTAACTGACAAACCAATAAATCCGGGGCGGTACGAAGTTAGCCAGGTCAGCTAGTATTTAATAAATATTTACTTACAAATATAAATTAACTGACAAACCAATAAATCCGGGTGTTAGTCTTTTTCTTAACCGATAAATTAATAATAACTATAAATCTTGCATCGATTAATAAAATAAAAAAAAAATTGCATTCGAAAAACGATTTTCAGCAATGATGAAATTAAATATAAGTATTATACCTATAATAAGTATTCATTAAAAATAGTATTACCTTATCATAAAGAATTTAAACTAAAATATGAGACATAGTTATAACATTTTAAATGCTTGTATTAAAAAACAATGATAAATATTTTATTTAAAAAATTTGAAACTATTTTTAAGATAAAATGAAAAATTGCTGCTATTTATCAAACGAAAAAGTTTTATCTTTTACTATTTTCAATACCAGAACAAGTACCCTCAGAAGATAAAATATTTGGTTATTTGATCAAAATAATTGTAGATAATAACTAGAATAACGAAATTTAACATTATATCTAATTAATTTATTATCTTTAATTATTCTTAAAAATAAATTTTTTATTTTTCACATTTTTACATCATAAAATATTGAAACTTAGCATTCTCCAGGGCTTTAGGCATTCTCTCAATTGTGACTTGCGAGTTGACATCAAACAAAAACATTGTAACGGAAGTGTTTTTCAGTTGGCAGGTATTATTATATTTGTGTTATTTTTATTAAATTATATCTAATGTATTTAATAATTTGTAGTATTATTTTACCAGTTTTAACTATTCTGTAGTTATGGCATAGTTTTTTCTTTATTACTTCTGTTATACTAGTTTATCTTACTGTTTTTGATTATTCTTTGCTATTACTTATTGTTATTATTTATTAATTACTAGTAATTACTTGGTTATTTTGATGAAATTTCTTATCGTAATTTGATAAGCCAACCATTATCTAATGAAAAATTCAAATTTCATAGGAAATTCATGTAATATATAATTTTAAGTTGTATTGTCGCCTTCTTCTATATTATTGTACTCATTTCCTTAAATTAATTCAGTAATAAGATTTATAAAACATTTTTATTATTTCATAGCTGATAATTGGTATTAAATTATGATATTAATCACCTATACCATGTTCAATAAAAAAATATATTAGTGCATTTATAAAACGTTTAAGTTATTAATATTTCAATACTTTACAATTATTCATTATTGTTTATTACATTATATAGGTACCTATAACAAACATTTTTCGTAAATCAGACTACTTTCAACATCCGCTTAGAAGTAACTTAATTGTTTATGAATAATTGTTTTTATTCATTGATACAGTAAAAAAATTATAACAATTTTACTATACCTATAATTATGTTTATAGTTTTTTACATACCAACAGTTTAAACAGAAACATAAATAGTCAAAATTAAAGTGTAAAATATGTTAATCCATGTAGGGGCAATGGCATATTAATTAGGTACCTACATACTTTCTGTTCGTTGACATAACTTTGAATACCTTCATGGCTACGTACAAAATTATATGTACTCGTAACCCATGTACATAAGCAGACAGCAATGGAACCTTGAACTCTACTATGCATCTGAAACAATTTTTAATAGTACATAGGTACATACATTTTTACCCACAGAATGTCAGTAGGTGCATAATGCATATCAAATATATCCAATTGTAACTACTTAATTGGATATATTTGATTTTTTTTTTTTTTTATATAATATTTAGCATTTTTGCTAGTAATATATATTATATATTTTTTGGAATCAATGAATTTTAATATTTTTTCTGTATAAAAATCAATAAATTAATTTTATAACTCTATATACTATACTATTTTTAGTAATATTTATATATTATATGCATATTTATGAGAACTGAGGCCAGAGGTCTATTCTATAAAATAAAGGTTTGTTATGAAATGTTATACATTTGCATAATAATTTTATAAAACAGTAATATTCTGTAAAAAGGCACCAAACTACTTTTTAGTAGGTGCTTCAAACACAAATTTTAACCATAAACCTACTAATCCCTACCTAGATACCCTCAAAAATATTATTTTCATTTAGGTTCAAGGTTAAAATATCTATGCTATTTGTTTCCACAATTACTTGGCCATCAATGATCAAAATATTTACATGTTCATATTAAGTAGATATCTACTATCTAATACTTACTGGCTAATAAATGCCAGTTTTTCTAAATTATATAGACTCAGAATGGGTCACCTGAATCCACCAATTTTAGGTGGTGCAATGCACCACCTTAGTACAAATTCGGCGTCTTTGAGTAAATAATATAAATAAATAATATTAAGTAAATTTAAAAGAAAATTTTTTTTAGATTTAATCTATTAATAAATAAGATTTAAAAAAGGTTCGGATCAAAATGCATAAATCTGTATTTTTATATCAAATGTATGCATAGTATTTTTATTACTACCTAGAATTTTGGCAATTGAGAAGGGTTTTAATCCCCAATCCCTTACCTAAACCCAGTAGCGCACGCAGGGGGGTAAGGGGTTGTAACACCCCCCCCCCCGAAATTTTCTCCGATGTCTAGGTTAAAATTTACAAATTTTACAAGTTTGAAATATGAAGAGCTAGTATTGAATACCTAGTATTATTGATTATAGAATAGTTTATTATATTATCAATGCTATTATTTAAATCAAAATATATTAAGGATTTGCATAATTTTGTTAACTGTAAAATGTGTTATATTTTTATCTTGACCCACCGAAAAAAAATCCTGTGTGCACCACTGCCTAAGCCACTGTCTTAGACCTCTATTCAGGGGCGTCATTTGGAATAAAACCATAGGGTAGCAACATTGGGCAACCCAGAGGGATGAGCTTTAGCCCACTCCCACCCCCTCTCATATTGACTGTGTGAATTCTAAAAAAAAATAAAACTAGTCAAAATTTAACACTTTGAACTTTAAATATATAATACACAATAACATATTATGAAATATTGAGCATAATTTACATAAATTACCTCTAGAACACGTGTCCTTAGAAGGATAAGTCCTAGTAAATTGTTCATAAAAGTTAATAAAAATACAACAATCAACAATCAGTGACCAAGTGGTATTTTGATTATATATATAGATAAAGATTATATTTAATTAATTTCTGAAAAAAAACAATAAAATGTTACATAAATTTCTCGTGGGGTGTCATAGCTATTAATTTGCTACCCCAATAAAAATTGTGGGGTAGCAATGGTTACCCCTCACTACCCCGTAATGACGCCTATGCTTCTATAATAATTACTACGAAGTAGAGTAGTACCTATAGGTCCTTTATAAAGGACTACATAAAGGTTCATGATTTTTTTTTCTTATCAATTTATCACGATTTAATGTTGTCATATCATTGAATATCACAGACGTTTGTACTAACTACATATATCTTAATCAGTATGATGCAATCACGTGTCAAATACCGGTACGGGTCAAATGTGAAATTCGGTTCATACATATGTACATTTCATTTTTCATTTTATTCTTATCATTTTAACTATTATAATTTCTTAGTCATTGGTTTTTCTGAAAACTAACCACCACAATCACATGTTGACATAATGAAATAATTATATATATTTGTTGTAATTAATGTAATATTTGGATAATATGTGACATTTATTAGTATCATAACGTGTTTAAAATCAGTCATTCGAAATATTTTTCTTCTCTAGTGCTTTAATTAAATAGGAATGGTTCAAAGTAAAGAGATTTAATTTAATTTTTGGGTATACATCTAGAATTAGATCATTAATCTGTTGTCAATTATGAGATCTGTTGTTAATGTCTAAAAAAAAAAAAAACAAAAAAACGAATACATTTCAATACAGTGTATTACATTCACTAATAATAACTACCAGGTAGAACAATATTTTATACTTACTGACTACATTTTAAATATATCATTGATCATAAATATTTTCTATTTGTAACATTAAATAATGCATATGTGTATTCATCTATATGTATCAAATTATATTAATTGGCAATGACCTATTATTAAATTTAATTGACATTAATTGATTGGTATTAAAAAAAAAAATATATGTATCAGTCATTTATTAGCTAGTTATTTATTTTTATTATTTTGAATTAAAAACTTGTATTTCAGTTAGACGTACCCATTTATTTCATGACAAATAGTCATAATGGCGTTTGGTATTGTTGATTATATTGTATTTGGAATTATGTTGATGTTATCCACCTTCATTGGTATTTACTATCGATTTACAGGTGGTAAACAAAAAACGACTCAGGTAATTTGATATTTGTTATTTTTATTCATTTTTACATATTTTAATATTATTATTTTTTAAAGGAATACATGCTAGGTAATAAGAATCAAGGTTTTTTACCTGTATCGTTTTCTTTGATGGCTAGTTTTATGTCAGCTATTACATTATTTGGCGTAAGTGCGGAAATGTATTCTTATGGTACACTATTTGTTGTCATTAATGTATCTTATATCTTGGGAACACCAATAATTGCATATGTATTTTTACCAGTTTTCTTTAAACTTGGAAATTTATCTGTTTATGAAGTAAGTAATATTTTTTATTTTTTTATAATCAAGATATAATTAAAATTATATGTTAGCTATGTATTTAACAAGTAAATAGGATAATATACAAAATATCTGAGTAATTTTTAACATGACATTAAAAATAACATTAAATGGGTTATAGAAATTAGCAATGACTTTAATTGATTATAATTGTTTGGAAAATAGTTTTATTTGGACCTATAAAACTTTTTACTTTAAAATAATTGATCCAAGAAAGTACTGCAATAGGTCTCTCTAATAAGCATGATACAAAAAATAAATAATAAACATGATGTATTTTTATGTAATACAAAGTATTAATTTTCCCCATTTATTTTTCTTTTTAATTTTAATGCCTTAGAATAAATTATAGTGAAGAAAAATTTAAGTGCTATGGTAATTTTAAAGCTTATTCATATTATTTAAATATACCAAATTACATTTTTTATAAACTTATTCTGTTGAGTAAATACTGTATGTTTCTGTTTTCATATAAATAAAATTCCTTTTGTGTTAATCCAACGTAGACTATGTTTTTGCTTATATTTCAAAAAAACACCAATGATTGAATATTAATTTTTTCAACTAAGGTTTACTTGGCATCACATTAATTGAAAAAGTCATTAGAGATAAATGAAAGTTATTATTTTGATTAAAAAGTTTTAGCAAAATCATATTATATGACAATGTTATTAAAGTTACTAAAATGATAGTTTTTTGATTTTACAGTATTTAGAAAAACGATTTGGTCGTTTAACTAGAACTTTTACATCCTTGGCATTTAGTGTACAAATGATACTTTATATGTCAGTAGTTTTATATACTCCTTCAATAGCTCTTGAAGCTGTGACTGGATTGTCATTAATATCTTCTATTACACTAGTTGGTTTAGTGTGTGTATTCTACTCAACTATTGGAGGAATTAAAGCAGTTATTATTACAGATGTATTTCAAGTAATTCAATTATTCAAATAATTATTAATACAAATTTTAGTTTTTAATAAAAAGATTTATTTTTATTTTTAAATTCATACTTCATGGTAAAATTAAATTGAAATCAGTAGTAATGTGGTTATAATGGATTTTTATTTTGTTTATGGCAACTATGCATTAAATTATTGTATTAATTGTTACTTATTTTGTATTTGCAATTTTATTACTATTATTTATTCAAAATTAAAATTTATATAAATTATTAAATATATTAGGCTCAGTGGCACAACCAGGATTTATTTTCAAGATGAGGGGAAGAATAATACATTTGAAAATAATTTAATTTTGGAAGGTGTTTAGTGAAAAAAATGAAGTATATTTGTAAGGTTATGTAACTAAATATTTGAGAAGGGTCACAACCCCCAATCTCTCCAAGTTGCACCGCTAATCTGGCTCCATAATATTTCACATTACATTAATTATTTAATTTATTATTATATTTATTTTTAAAATGTTTTTTATTAAAAATATTTAATTGTTTAAACTGAAATTTTAGTCATTACTTATGTTTGCTTCAATATATGTCGTAATTGGTGTTGCTATGTATGATACTGGTGGAATATTAGAAATTTGGAGAATTGCTGATAAATATGGCCGAATTCAATTTAATAAGTACTTTACATTTTTCTTAAACAATTATAAGTTCAAAATTTGAACTATATATTTTTTAAAATTATAAAAATGGTTTTAGTTTTAATATAGATCCAACAGAAAGACATAGTTGGTTTAGCTTAGTAATTGGAGGTATGTTTACCTATGTTTCTTTATATGCTATCAATCAAACTCAAGTGCAAAGGTATTTAACTATGAAAGATTACAGAACAGCAGTAAAATCTTTATGGTGTAGCTTACCATTATTGTCATTGTTATCTATTTCAACATGTTTCTCTGGGTTGGCAATGTTTTCCAAGTATTATAACTGCGATCCAATTAAGTACATAATAATTTTATTTAAATTTGGTAGAAAAAATTGTAACTTAGGCATTTTCTGAAGGTCTGGTCGTATATCAAGAGCAGATCAATTGATGCCGTTTTATGTACTGGATACTATGGGAAATATTCCTGGATTGACTGGTTTATTTGTAGCTGGTATATTTTCATCTGCATTAAGTTCTGTATCGCCAGCACTTAATTCTTTAGCTGCAGTTACAATGGAAGATTATGTCAAGGTATAATTTATGCAAACATTAAATGGTGTATTAAATTTATCAAATATCACATTTATAATTAACAATTTTTTTGTTTATACATTTAGCCTTTAATGAAACAAGACATTACTGATAAAAAACTAGTTTTTTTTATGAAAATTTTAGTCCTTATATATGGTGCAATATGTTTATTATTAGCATTTTTGGCTCAATATTTTGATTCTGTACTACAAACTTCTCTTACTATATTTGGAATTATTGGTGGACCTGTATTAGCAGTATTTACTCTTGGAGTGCTTTTACCACACGTCAATCAAAAAGTATTTTGCTTAAGGATTTAAATAGTAAAATAATTACTAAATATAATTTTATTTTTTAGGGTTCTTTAATTGGTCTTGTTATTGGATTGATATTTTCATTTACACTTGGACTAGGTGGACCTAAACCTCCAATTAAAAATTTACCAACTTTTACAGATGGATGTTCAGTGTTGATTAATAAAACTATACCAAATGTTGAACAGGGTGTTAAATTATTTGAAGGGTAATAACCTTAATTTTATTTTAAAATATTTCGATAAATACACTTATTAGTATCGATATAATTTTTTTTTTTGAGAGAGAAAAAACTGAAATCTTATAAATTCCTGTGTAAATATTGCCTCAAGAGATTAAGTCCATCTACAACCCACCTAATACATTATATTCAGTAATAATTTATTATTAAAAATAATAAACATAAAAAGCAATGTTCTTTATCAATAAATTTATCTTTAATTACTACTGTATTCATTTAATTTGATACATCCATTTTTGAAAGAGTCTTTGAAACAATTTTAGGAGATTAGGTTTTTTTAGCATGCCATATATACATTTATTGATATGTGTATATTGCAGAATTATATTAACTAGTATATAAATATTTTTAATTTTAGTAATAATTAAATTTATATTTCAATATAGTTTAACAACATTTATATATTTAGAAATAAATTTTAAATACTTTTATTAAGCTTTAGAATTAAATTTTGATACTTAAAATATTTTTGTAATTAACAAGATTCTTTAAAAACATTTAATCTTATTTTAGTCTTAAATCCAAATTGTTTTGTTTTAATAATTAATCATTTTTTATCACATTTTTCTCATACAATCTAAAATTTATTTTATTTTACATATAGATATTTTTATGTATGCATAACTATATTGCAAGTCTATTAATTGTTTTTTTTTTATTTTTTTTTTTAAGGTTACAAAATGACAGCAACTATTTGTATTTATATCGTATTAGTTACATGTACTATATAGTTCTTGGATTTATAGTTACATTTATAGTTGCACTTATTATTAGTGCAGTTTTCAAAGAATCTTATTGTAATAATCCAGATCTATTCACCCCATTTGTCGCGAAACGATTAAGAAAACATGGATTATTACTAAAAATAAAGTCTACCAAAATGGTTCATTTTTAAATCACTTATTTTATTATATTATTTTTTGTTACTAAAATTATACAATTTTTTATAGGAACAAAGGACTTATGTTGAAGATAATAATCATTTATGCAGTTAAGATAATTATAAACATTGTTTATAGTAGCATGTTTTGATATAGAATTAATTTTATTAAACTATTGTTAGAAGACATTTTTATATTGGTATAATTAATAAAAAAAAAAAATTTTGTTTTTAATTGTTATTATTTTTTTTATATATATAAATATATTATGTATTATTTATAAACGCATATGACCTAAAACGGGGTAAAATTTGAATTGGTAATTGTAACTATTATTATTATTATTATTATTATTATATATATATATATATATATATATATTTTAATTTGTTTCTTTTAAATATTTATTACTCATTTATGATAAACACCAAACCTTTTGAAAAATGTTTCAATTAAATGAGAAGTTATGTAATTTTAAAACATGCTGATGTGCTGATGCTCATACACAAATTTGTGTTAATATTTTTATTAAAATAACGCTACATTATTCAAATAACTTGCTATACATATGCAAAATCAATTATTAAATAGCCAATAGGTACCTGAAAATAGTAATAACTATTATGGAAGCTAACGAATAAAGCATTTTCCTATCTTTTTGAATATTAAATTAATACATAAAAATATAAAAGTGAAACTCTTAAGTTAAATACTTTGTCCAACCATGTGTTAAATAATGTTTATTTACATGTTGTAAATACCATGTACAATAGAGTATGAAATATATATAAATAAAAGTAATATTTATGTTTTTGGTATATTTAAAATATTTTATTCAAATAAAAATATGCATTACATAGCTTATATATTATACCTTAAAACTATTAATGTACAGTTATGTATTTATATAAAGTAACTTATATTAAAAAAAATTAAAACCCATGCATATTATTATATCATTTTTTTTTGGTTGGGTATAGTAAATAAAATTATAAATTACATTTATAATTATTTTATAACAGAAATAGATAAATAAAATGCAATATATAAAATTAGTGATAACTAATTTTGACCAAATATTTCTTTTAAATTAACATAGTAGAAATCATGATGCTTAAGTGTTTCTTTAACACGAGATTTTAATCTACTATAAGCAGTATATAACGGATGGTCAGTGTTTAATTGTAAGTCCTTGTTTCTATGTAACACTTTATCAATGTCAAATATAAACAAAAAATATCTTAATTGAAATAGAAGTTGACCGGCTGAATACTGAAAGTCATAAAACATTAAATTAGTTTATGATACATTAAATAAATAGAATACTTATTGAAATCAGACATTATAATTAAATTGGTAGTTTTTATTTAAGTTTAAACATACATATTAATAAAATACTTAAACAATTTGATAATAATAAAAAATTAACTTATATTTATTGAAATCAATTGTATGGTATCATAGAAAAAAAGTATTAAGCAACACATAATAATTATAAGAGGCCCACGACATTCAAATTTCCATATAAAATTAAATTACATACTAAAATATTAGTATTTATTATACTATATTATATATTTTGTAAGAATTATATTTAATTCCATAATTTACATGGTAAAATTCCAATGCGTTCAATAACTTGACTAGTATTTATTTTAATTAAACATAAATATTTAAGGGTAATATTTGCATTAATTTCAAACCCTAAGTTTTATTATTTAAATTATTATTATAAATTATATTTTTTGTTACAATTAGTCATATTTATAACTTGATAAATTATTCAGCATTAGCAGTTTGAAATAAATATATTTGGATTTATATTTTTTCAACTTTAAATTTGTTTAATAATTGAATAAGATCACCTAAGCTTAGATATTGTCTAACATTTTATCAAATCCATATAAAATATTTTAATCAGGTATTTGTATTTTAAACTCTTAAAATGTATCTAATTAAATAGATCAGATATATGCTTACTTCTTTTCTTAATGTTCCAGATTCACATTGTGAACAAATTTCATCACTCATGCGTGGAATATATTTGCTTTTATTATCACATGTACTATCGTCACATACATATTCACTCTAAAGAAATAATTTATTTGATTATATGTAGGTATAAATATATATATATATATAAAATAATTACTTTATAGAATTTTATTGTATGTTTCCTTATGGATTTCCATAAACTATTCTCAATCATTCCAACATATTTATAAGGAGAAATATAACATTCTGGATTAGAACAATTCTCCAAGGAAAATTCTAACTCACCATTTGGCTAAAATTTTTTATGAAAAAATCAAATTAATATTTTTAAGTAAAATAAATATATTATAAATACCTTTTTAATTGCTGGTGCAAATATTTCTACTTCATTTTTACAACCAAGACATGTAAATTTAAATCTATATATTTGTTATATAAAATATTAATTAATATAATATAAATTAACAGTATTAATTTTTTAATAAAAAACTTACTGATCACAACAATTAAATCTTGTTGCATCATCCAAATCTAAAACTTTTTCTTCAAGCGAATCTACATAAACTGATCTTGTTCTTTGGTTTTGATATAATGCAGGATCAAGACCTATTTTAATATAAAAATTAGTAATCATATAATACTTTTATTTATTTATTTATTTTAAATTTTCAGTAAATCACATACTCTCCTAACAAATTCGTACAAAATAATAAAATAATTATAATTAAACCTAAGTGTTCTGCGATCATTTTAGAATCAATATCTTCTAATGGTGAACAAAGTCTTGCTATAACTGGATGAATTTGTTGAGATAAATAATATTTAACATCAATTTTTAATGCAGTATTGGTTTTTAACTCGTCTACGTGATACACTCTTTGAGTTGATGGTAAATTTGTTCCATCCTATTTATTAATCATAACACATTACATTTTATATTTAAATATATTTTACATAAAAAAGAAACATACTTCACAAACAACATATGATATAGTATCGCCTTGTTTAAATTTGATACTTTGTTTATTGAGACGTTGTGCAATGGCTACATGGGGTAATGCTTTAGAATCTGGATAATCTTGAGGTGCTTTAGTTAATGTTTTACTAATAGCTAACAATACTAATGGAACTTTATTTTCATCCAAATCAATTTTTAGTTTTTCTAACTGAGCACAAATATTTGAAACTCTTTCTTCGGGAGCTTGATCAGATAATATTTGTCTTAAGACAAACCTACAAAAATAACAATTTTATAAATTACTTATTCAATTATTTTTATTTTTTAATACTCAATTAAAAAAAAAAAAAATTAAAAAAATATTACCTTCCAGCTTCTTGTGATAACTGTGACCAATCTCTTCTTACTATATCCAATCCTTTGATTTCTTCTTTCGTTATAAATTCACCAGAAGGAAGTTTTGAAATAGATACAGCAGCATACTTTTTTTTTTTTAACAATAACATGTACTTAAAAATACCATCAATATCTAATTCAACTTGTTTATATATTTTATTAACTTCTGATTTGATCTAATATAAAAACACAAATATATTAAAAATATAAATTATAATTAAAATATACTATATATATTATACTTTGTAACCAATTTTCATAACTTGATCATAGTCAACACAATTTGAGTTGATCATTAATGAATCTGTATCTCCATAAATAACATCAAATGCCAATTTCTCAACTAATGCTTTAGTGCTAATCAAAATTTCTCTTCCTTTAGCAGTGATTAATGCTGCTAGTGGTTTAGCATAAAAACGTGAATGTGTAAATCCCAAACATCCATACATACTATTGGCCGTCAGCTTTAATGCAGTTTGTCTCAAATTATACTAAAATCAAGATAAACATATAATGTATATCAATAAATGATTAAACAACTAAAAAATACAGTTTATTTTTATTTTGTTAACAGTAATGACAAAAAATAAATAAATATTTATTCTCTGATTTCTATCTCCTCTTATATAATAACTATAGCTCTAACTCATTAAATGATGAAAAAATATTTATACAGTAGAGCCTCGATAGTCCGGACGAATTCAGACCGAGCATCGTCCGAATTACCGATTTTTCCGGATTACCGGAGGTTTCTCAAGATTACCTACTCAAATGACTAAGATTTTATTTTTAATTTCACCATCTTTATATTTATTGCATTTTAAATTATACGAATAATAAACAACTTAAATTAAAACTAAACTAATGAATTACAAAAAAAAAAAAAAAATGTTTATAATAAGTAGAATTTAAGTATAATAGTCGATAATTTTTTTCTGAATAGTACTTTTAATTTTCATTTCAAAAGCGAGTTCTCTTAATCGACGTACCAACAAAATATCAGTGCTATCCATGTTCTCATCTTCCGCCCATTGCAATACAGTATTCAGTGCATTCACAGCTTCTGAAGGAGAAACTTTACTTGTACTAATTGAGCCACTTTCATCCTCGTCGTCAATATCATCCTCTTTTGCTGCAATTTGTAGAATTTGATCATCAGTTAAGATTTCATGATTCGCTAAATCTTCGTCTGCGCCACGGCAAGCCCATTCCTGTGCTTGAGAATCAGACATTTTATTCGTACATGTTTTCTGTATCTGGTTTATGAATGTAGAAAGTTGAATGTCATTAATTTCAACAACTTCGTCGATTTTATTTTCTGTTTGGAAAAGAAGCAAGTGTTTCCACGATTTCTTTATGAGCATTGGCGGGACCAATTTCCAACAATTTGCAAGACTAAAAACTGCGTCTTTTAAATTTATGGCCTTTAGAGCATCAATAAGGTTTTCACCATGCACCGGATCAGCAAGAACATTGACTAAGAGAGACTTACGATAGTTTAATTTAATATTCTGAATTACATTTTGATCCATCGGTTGAATAAGCGCTGTAGTATTAGGGGGTAAAAACATTGCAAAAATGTTGCCATCATCACTACGTAATTCTTCTGCTGATGGATGTCCAGGGCAATTATCCAACAATAATAAAGCTTTTGGAGGTAAATTTACATTTAAAAGGTGCTCACGAACTACAGGAACAAATTGTTTTTGAAACCAGTCTAAAAATAAAACACGAGTGGCCCAAGCATTTTTTTGTCCACGATAGTATACGGGAAGGTTAACTGATTTAAACGCACGTGGTTTTTGTGCAGTCCCAATGACGAGTAAAGGCAATTTATGTGTTCCACTTGCATTAGCACAAGGCATGAATGTTATTCTAGCTTTAATAATTTTTATTCCAGGAGCGTTTTTCTCATGACTTGATGTCAATGTATGCTTTGGTAACATTCCCCAGAATAAACCGAATTCATCAGCGTTATAAATTTGTTCTAGGTCCAAATTGTTTTCATTTATGACTCGCTGCAACTCATTTCGAAATGGTTCGATTGATGCTTCGTCACATGAAAGTTTCTCACCCGTTATTTTAAGGTGCCTAATACCATGACGATGTTTAAAATTGTCTAGCCAACCTCTACTAGCAGTGAAACCATCTTCCTGCTTTGTTATTTCACGGTGAAATAAACGTGCTTTTTCGCAAATTATTTCACCACTTATCGGAATATGTCGTCTCCGCTGTTGCATAAACCATATAAATAAAGCATTTTCGAGAACAAGATTTTCCGGTTCTTTTAAAGTTTTACGTGTGCCTGGACCACGTTCAGTTGTGCTGACAAACTTCATAATTTTTTCTTTATTTTTTTTTATTTCACCAACAGTCGATTTACCTATTCCGTACTTCTCAGCAATCATACCATAGTTCTGGCCATTTTCCATTAGCTTAATTATTTCAATTTTTTGATCTAAAGTTAAAGTTACGTGTTTACGAGGAGCCATTGTACAAACAAGAATAATAACCACTCGACAAGAAAGAAGTAAACGAACTGACCATCGGGCATCGATTTATTACCTACATATGTACATATTAATCTTTACTAGGAACAGTAGGTAATAAAAATGACGAAATTGTATTTGTCGATAACAATATCTTATGCATAGATTAATTGGGTTCCGGGAATTCTCGTAAAATCTATTTACGAACAAACGGAATTTTGCCGTCCGGATTACCGCGTTCACCGGATTATCGGGGGTCCGGACTATCGAGGCTCTACTGTACTTATATAAAATCAATCTCAAAAATTCTTAAATGCAAAATTAGGTACATAATTGACTAAAAATATATACCTATAAATATTAAATATATAAATAAACTCAAAAAAATTAATTAAAAAAGGAAATCAATATTAAGCCACTCTGCTCAAAATCAAAATGGAATAACATTTTTTTAAATAAAATAAACTTGCTTGCTCTTTAAGTATGTTTGAAATTTTTGGATCATTCATTAACTTTTTTACTTCTCTACGTGAATCAACCAATGATTTAATTTCAGCAGGTAATATACCACGAGCAACCATTTGATTTGGTATTAATTTTAATAATTCTGCAACTTCGTCATCACCCTAAAGAACAAATATATAAAAAATGAACTTAACATTATATTATGAAATAGTTAATAATAAATTTTTCTTACCTCTTGAGAATCTGCTTGCAATGTTCGAAAGCTTACAGTAGTAAAGCATATATTATATTCTTGAATAATACTGGGATAAAGTGAATTAAAATCCATCAGTAGTATCATTTTGTCATAAAATCCAATTTTTGGATCAAGTACCAGACCTCCTAAATATTGAGCTTTCTTACGACCATTTTTCTTAATACTATCATCTTCTATTAGTTGATTTTCATCCTAGTAAAATATATTGAATATGAGAAATATGTTTATTATTTATTAATATAAAAATGTATTATTCACCATGTTGTTAGTTCTTTTTTTATATTGTTTATCAGGAAGTATATAGCCTTTTTCGTTAAAAGCATGTAATAATAAATATTCATTTCTTTCAGCACGGCCACCAATTAATGTTCGGGATAGTAAATTTCCAGCTATTTTAGTTATCTGAAGAGCTAATGGTAATACATTCATTTGACACATAAGTCGCATTACACATGAAGTATCCATGATTGTAAATTTGATAAGCTGTATTAAAGATTCAGCAGAACTGCAAATTTAAATAATTAAAGTTAATATCCTAATTTTAAGTGATATAAATATTATTTAAAATATTATTAGCATACCAATACATATAACTAACTTCATCATCTGATAGATTTAAATGTTCATTTTCTTTAATATTAAGAATCTATATAAAAATATGTACATATTGTTAATAAAATAGTTTTTAGATAATTTTGTATATTATTTAAATTTCAATGTAATGTTATTCTACTAGGTATTATATTATACCTTGGAAAAATCAACAAATTTTGTATTCATATGCACCTAGCAATATAATTAAAATTTTTTTTTTATTTTTTTTTTTTTTATTTAAAATCAAAAACAAAACCTATATTACAGATCAAAATTAACAATTAGATACAGAAATTATTAACCTACCTCTTTTAAGCTTATGTAGCTTGTGTTAGAGATAGAGTGCTATGATTACTACTAAATATAATAAATATATGTGCATTAATTGTGCCATATTGGCATGTTCTATCATAGAACAGCATAATATATTATTTAAGATATTATAAAAATAATGAACTATACAGACAAAAAAATTATTCTGTAAACCTTAATTACTGATTACATTGAATAATTTATTTATTGATACAATATTCAATCAATAATTCAAAAAACTCCAAAAATTTAACTTAACAAATAACTATAGCAATAAAAATTTTATCGTAGTTTATTACTACCTAACCTACCTTATCTAGATTTTGATCGCATAATTTTATCAAGATAAACCTCTGCAAAGGGCAAACAGATGTTGAAATCAAATAAAATGTAGTCTGTGTGAATATGGGTTCTGTAAAGCAAGGATGGGCAATCGGTGCCCCGTATTTTAATTTCAAATTACTTTATAATATTTTAGCCATTATCGGTATTTTATTTTATAAAACATCAATATTATATTTTCCTATGGTATTAAATTGTAGCTAATTTACTAAATATCTAAATATAATGTATACTCATAATGGCATAGCTAACATAGCTATAGTTATAGATATTAATAAATATTGAATTAGTTTAGTTGCAATATTAAATTATATAAAATAAATGCTGTCAATTTTAATAACTTTTTTTGTTTTTTGCTTTCTTTACTCTGGCCCATCAAATTTTAAAGTTCTATTAATTGGCCCACTAATTACTTTAAGTTGCCCATCTTTTAAAAAAAGTATAAGTGTTTAGCCGATTACCAAAAAAAATAAAAAAAAAAATGATGTTGCTCTACAGATTTTTATTAATATGTATAATAAATAAATATAAACGTAAAAAAACGTAAAAAAATTTCTTCTTGAACGACAGACCTAATAAACGTTAAGTTATTCGTTCTTGTAAATTTAATTAGAAGAATGTTTTGAAATATTACGTTCTTGAACATTTAATCAAAAGAACTTATCGAAATAATACGTTCTTTTAAATTTAATTAGAAGAAAGTTTTGAAATAATAAGTTCTTGAACATTTAATTAGAAGAACATTTTACAGTCATATGTTCTCGAATAATAATAGTAATAATAATAGTTATATGTTCTTGAATAACGTTTCTATTTCTTGAACGTTCTGAAAATGAACACAATTTTGAAGATGACCAAGTTCACATAGACAAAGAAAACAGTCACAATATTTCTGAATATTCTGATGAAAATAATAATAAAATAAATGAACAAGAAAATGAAAATAATCAAGAGACATTGCCTATAATCTTCAACGATTTGGGTGCAGCAGTCAATACATCGGAGATATTGAGGAGTATATAATGTGCTGCTCATAGTTTACAACTATAGATTCTAGATGTATTTGAAATAGAAAGTATATCAACTATAAACAAATCACGGAGATTGGTGAAGATGTTGAGATTAACAAAATATTTGGAAGCTCTCAAGAATATGGATATATATAATACTATATTATTACTTATATTATCATAATATTACATCATCTTATACAGTCAAAAATAAATTATTGGCTATTGGATTTATTTTGGCTGAATCTTTTTTAGTTCTTTCAAAGTCAAATTATGCTATTGAGGTATATATTTAATCCTTATCTTAGTTATTAGTAAAAATAGGACTAGATGTAATTCAAGTTTTAGATTTTGATATTAAAGTACTAATTATTTTTCAATAAATTTAAATTCAAAATAGTCAATAGATAATTTTGATTCATAACATTTTGTCAAAGTTCGAAGAACGGTTTAGTTTATGTTGTTCTATGTGTTAAAAGTTTGAAGAACGTGTTAGCTTATTACGTTCTTCGTGTAATTGTTCATAGAACATAATAAATTGATTTAATAATTGATAATAATTGATTTATAAACAACAATGTTTTTTAACTATTTTTTTATGTTTCGTTCGGAAACCCTGCTGACTACTATACACACATAAAATCAATTTTCTGTAGCAAAATTAGTTGCTTTACACCAGGCATGTCAAATACGCGGCCCGTGGATAGCATGTGACCCATGGTTAATTTTTTTATGGCCAGCAGCTACCAATATCAATCGACAAAATAAAAAATTAATAGTAAAAAAATTATAAAATATTAATGTCATGTTACAACTATGTTGACTATGTTGAGAATATATTTGATATATGTTATTAAGTCTTATATTCTATTAAACTTTGATTGAGTAAGTTTTACTGATGGTCTTATATGTATACATATATATTAAAAAATATTAAAATTTTTTTTTCGTTTAATTTTTATGTATGGACTTGATACTTTGAGTTTGACATGCCTCTTTTTAACTAACAAGAGATAGTTAATAATATACATTTTCTTGAATATGAATTAGTGTATGTAAATATATATATTTTTAGCCAATGAAGAACAAATACAATTTATTAAATTATAAGTCAATATATACACATTTTAAAAATTTGTATTAATATTACCTGTTCTGACAATGAATATAAATCATAACTTCTTGCTTTTATCAATTCTTTTGCAGAAATTTGAGTATCACAAATCAATCTACCACTGAGTACACTTTTTTCACTCATAAATTTTCCCTAAAAGTATATATTATCAATTATTTTCTTAATACTAAGCTCATTTCACAGTAGAGTACTTTTTTAGGGAATAAAGTCCTACGAAGACGTCCAATTTTTGACCAATTTTGTATTTTATTGGCTTCTAAGCGGTTTACTAATGTAGTCAATATGTAACTACAAATGTCGTGACCGATTATCAAATCTGGATCAATTTTGGACAATTTTGCAAGAAAAAATGTTAATAAAGCACGTTCTGAATCCATTTTTATTATCTTTGAAGAATCTCCACATTTTTTTAATTCTTCTTGATGTCGAGGAGGCCATGGTGTATTACTTGGTCGTGATATTGCTAAAATATAAATATATATATATATAAAATTTAGTAATAGAAAAAATTAAATAGAAATAGTATTAAACATAATTTCAAATATAGGTGTACAATTTTTTTTATAGTAGTAATCATATATTTTAAATTATATTATTTTAATTCTAAGAGTAAAAAAGTCAGATATTATACAGTGGTTAACATAATATAGTATTTAATGTATACAATTACAAAGTAAATTTTAAATTCCAATTTCACAACTCAAATAGAGTTACTTCAATTAAACATAAAGCTATTTTTCTATCAATTATAATTATTGGAAATTAAGTTTTTAGATTTATAAGATTTTAAATAGCAACAATACAAAAGTTTTAACAAAATTGCTATAATTATACATTTCATAATACAATAATGACTAGAGCGATGATTTTTATGCACTAAAAAGTATCGAAATATGGCATATAATATGCAAGAATTTTTTATTTATTTAAAATTTACAAATTAAATAACTTATAATAATTAATTACTTAAATAGTTAATAAAAAAAAAAATTTAGAAAATTTTCTGAACAACTTAATTTATTTTTAAAATTTTATTTATTATTAAAATGAATAATCATATGCATTTCAAGTATTTCTTCTGTGAAGCTGTGACAAACGACGAAACTCAGTGGTATACTGGTATGTCGATGACTGACTAATACAGTAAGAGCAATTAAGATTATAGGTAGACACACGTTTATTTTCGGCACATTCATGATTTATGTACAATGACAAATGATGTAACAGAGTGCCGAGTGGTATGTAGATAACCAACTTACACAGCAAGAGCGATTAAGTTTACATCGTAATCGATTATTTATCTTATAAATAAATATATATATAAATTATTATTTAGTAAATTTAGTTTTAATTTTTCTACTTGAAAAATATTATTTTATATATTTTTTTAAATTTTCGCTTCAATATGCAATGAATTTTGAATTTTGCCAAAATATGCAAAAAAGAAAATGTCACCATTAGTTTCAAATTATGAGTCGTGGAGATAATTAACAAAAATCCAAAAATATTAAATGAAAAAAAATATGCATTGCATAGAAATTCACGCTCTAGTCATCTTAATTAGTTGTCTTGATTAGTTTAAATTGTGCCACATCAAAACGGCAGAGGTGAAATGTCTGCCAATTCTCTTTTTGTTGTTGCTAGCTTGCAATCTTTCATTGAACCATTTTTTTTTTTTTATTATTATCTTTCCGTTTGTACACTAGTGTTTCACTAGCTGCCTTTTTGATAGAATTTTCTATACTTTCCCATAATAGGTCTACTTGTGACTTTTCTGTTCTTTCACTTAGCTTATTCATAGCTTCTATGTACACAATTTTGTCTGTCTGTTCCTTTAGTTTCTCAATACTGACTACTGGGTATATCGGACATTTAAACTAAGGCTCAGAGATCAATATTTTGCAACAATTGAAGATATTAAAATGAATTCAATAGCTAATATAAGGGCCAAATCAATAGAGGGATATCATGAGATGTTTCCAGCAGTTAAACATTTGTTGGAGTAAGTGTGTCTGTACAATAAGATGATATTTTAAAAGGAGATTAAGTTAATTTAATTTTAAATTTAATGTATAAAAAAAAATTAATTCCAGGAACTTTTTGATCCTACCACATGTCTTAAATAATCCATATTATTAAAAAAATTCTTTAAATAAATATAAATAATATATAATACTATAATTACCACAAAAAAATTGATTATGAAGATGAGTTGATGGAGCTTGATCCATTGGAAAATGTGTATGCACTAAACAACTTATAATTAAGATTTCATTTTGTCTTGTTTTTTTGTTATACGTAATTCTTGGATTTAGAGTCATAATAACTATTGGTGGAGGTGAAGCAATGGGTGCTAGTTGTACATTTTTCATATCTAAACATAATATCTACGGAACATAATTGTTAACATTAAATATTAATAGATTAAAAAAAAAAAATATTTTTACCTCAAGTTTACACCAACTCATAGGATTACTAGATAGCTGTGGAGATTTTATATCTAACCAACATGGTCCTTTAATTTTTTGATCCAAAAGTAAAAGTTCTAAGAATGAAGTATTAGTACCAAATACTCTACTAAATGTGTTGCCACTTAAATCTATTGGCAAAGGAGGATAAGAGGCCTTAAAAATGAATGAAGGTTTTTTATACAATCATATAATTAAGATTATTAGTATTATAAAGTAAAAAAACACTAACAGAATATCTAATTTCCAAGTATTCACTTTCATCAGCAACATCTGGTAGATCAAAAGCATATTTTTTTGTAATTTTACGAGATTTAAAATTGCGTACTTGATACTGGTCACTAAGGTTATTAAATTCATTATATACATCAACCATTTTCACTTCTTCATTTTTAGATGTCTATAATATTATATGATTTACTAAATAATTTAATATAAATATAAATAGTATAATTAATGAGTCTTACTGAATTTCTAGGAAGTAAAAACATTCTTCTTTCAATATTTTTAACAATAACACAACAGCTTACATATGCATTAACATTAACAGGTTTTACTTTACCAAAAAGAAATACTATTCCAGGTTGTTTAAATACATCTTCAAATGCATCCAAATAAAAAAATCGAAAAACCTAAATTAAAAAAAGTTATATTGTTATCCAAGTATTACTATTAATATTTAAAATATCTTAATAATTAATTGAAAATATAATATAATATAAATATTAATATTACTGAAATATTAAAAATAAGCAATAAAGTACTTAATCATAATAATTTTAACTATAATATATATGAATTATATTAATAAAAGTAAATAACTAACTTGATTTCCATTTTTATCAGTTGTCAAAGGCAATTTTGAAGAAATATCATGTGGTAAAGAAACTTGTTCTTCTTCTTGAATACTAAAATATTAAAAATTAAAAAACAAAGTAATAATTACAATCTAGTTATATCATATAATATAGAATATAAAAATATTTTATTAGTAAAATTTTTAGATATAATTATATTTCATTCATGGTTAATACCCTCTGCAGTGCCAAACTATAGCTCTGAATATTGGCACATTTTATTAAATACTATAAAAAATTCAAGAATTATTTTTAGAATTATTATACATATAATATTTAAAATATAGATGATAACTAGGGCCTGCATTTTTATGCATTTGTATGATTTCAACAGTCCAGAATGTAACAAAATAAGTTACAAGTTTGAATTATAGTTGATAGATTAAAAATATAAATATTTATTGAATATTATATATAAATTAGATTTGTATATTTCTTCATTTTTGATGTGTATTGCATATTTCTGTAATTTACGATTTATCATTGCATTATAGCCAAATATTTAAATGTTTCATAACCATTTATTTTACTATTATTTACTGGTTTTACCCACATATATCTATGGTTTATAAGGAATTAATTTTCTTATATTATCTAATCACTTTTGGATGAAGATAATTCAGTTGGAACTAGTTAATGAAATCTGTATATTCAATAAGTTTTCATGAACTAAAGTGTGTGACAAAAAGATAAAAGCACCCGAATATATTTAGTTATAATATATTATATACCACAAAAGTGTGTACAAATGATGTTATTGTTATGGTAATTATAATTAAGTGATTTAACCAGTACTTTCTCATATATTATTTTAATTTTATTATACATTTTAAAGTTCTGTGTAACTATAATAATATTAATAAAAAAATTTTAATAGGAAATGTTCGCGACAAAATTATAAAGGCAAATATATATATTAACAAACTAATATATATAACAACATTTATTATATTTATTAATATTATATATGTATGAAACCTCCATTAACATGAATAGTGTCAAAAATTCTATTTGGAATTGTGTCATACAGCTTTTTTATAACATCATGGGAAATTAGTGCCCAAGCTTCTAAAATCGATTTTTTCAACTCACAGACTAAAGAATATATTGTTTGGCTTCTTTATAAACTTCTTTGGTAAGTAATCTCCAAACATTTTCAATGATATTTAGATCTGGAGATCGTGCAGGTCAATCTAATATTGGTATAGAATTTGTTTCAAAATTATAATTTTATGATTCGAGCCATATGGATTGGCGCATTATCCTGTTGAAATATAAAATTTCTTCCTGCTATTTTCCTAAAACATGACTTTTGGGTATTAAGATCTTTATGCTTCATAGCATTTATTCTACCATCTAAAAAAACAACATCACTTCATCCTTTATAACCAATTGCACACCAAATCATTACAGATCCTCCTTCCATTTGCCATCTTGACATAATACGTTCATCTTTTCTTAAATCGTGATAGTAATACAAAAATCCATCAGGTCCATCCAAATTAGATTTTTCATCTGAAAAAATTACTGGTCACCATTATTTTGACCAATTAATTTGGTTTCTTGAAAAGTTCAATCTCACATTTTTATTAAGCTTGTTTAATGGTGGTTTTCGTAATAATTTTTTTCGAATGAGTATATGCGTGCATTTCATTGTCTATGTACGTTACGAATACCAGTTTTCACACCACATTAATTAAGAATACCACGTACAGATAAAGCAGAATTTTATGCAATTCTTAAAATTGTTCTTTTTTTACGATCAGTTTTTACTTGCAATCGACCTGTAGACGTCTTGGAATTGTAATTTTGACAAAGTTTTACAAAATTATCTATAACAGTGGAGCTCCTATTTAGTCTATGCAATATTTCACAATTTGAAAGACCGCATTCCTTAAATGCTGTAATTTTTCCTTGTTCTTCATTTGATAATGGTTTTGCTCTTCCCATGGTAAATTATTTAATAATTAATTACAATACTATACAAATTATACTAATACAGTTTATAATGTTAGATTGTATTAAGTATAACAGAAGTTTAAAATAAGGATAATTGGATCATATAATACAATTGCTAAATACGTAACGAAACTAACTGCCTTTATAATTTTTTCGCAACAAAGTCTAATAAATTCACCAATAAATATTTTTTTATTAGCTTATAATTAAAAAAATAAGATTAAATTACTATCATTTTGGTTTTTCCCGAAATTTATCAGTACATGGAATATATTAATTACCTTTGTTTTAATAATAACTAGTTTCACATCATAATGTATACAATTATATTTGGTTAAATATTGTGCCTTTATCTTTTTGTCGCGCACTGTATATTCAAGTCATGTTTCTTGATAGTGTGTATTTGTATTTCAAAAGTACAATCCTATGTTTGTAAATATTTTATGAATTTGAAAAAAAAATTTTTATCTGAAGGGGATTCTCTTTAAAGTATATGGGATTAATGTCAACAGTGTCAAGTGCTTTTATTCGAAAATTCATCCAACTCTTAAGTAATCAATTTTAACTCTCCAGATAACTTTTAAATACTATAAAAATGTACTAAATTTGTTTAAATTAATTTTCATTTATGAATTTTTATTCAAATGAGTGAACATTCAAAATATTTCAAATTTAACATATAATTCAATACAACATACTAATTACAAAATAATAATTCATTATTTGACGAATTATATTTAATATTAAACTAAATTAATTTAATTAACATGCATATTTGTTTGCATATTTTAATAATAATCAGTGCAATGCTTGCATATTTCATACATTTTTAAAATATATAATTCAGGGCCCTAATAATAACTAATAATAAACAAAATATACACTTTCAAGAAGTGATTAATGATTTATATATTTTTTGTTTGCATTATTCTCATTTAGTTGTTGTTGAAAACAATGTCTAATAATAAAATATAATAACCATAAAAATTTATAATCAACATTTATTGGTAGCTTTTAAGTCTTAAAATTAATAAATCAGTATTACCTTTCAATTGGCCATTTGGTATCTTCAAAATCAATTTTAATTTCAGATTTAATTGATTCTTTTTTAATACTTAATTCAGATTGTTCCACAAAACTTTTTTCAGCCTTAAAAGAAAACACAAAATGATTTAAATGATTCTGTATTTATTAAATTTTCAATTAAATTAAGTTTACTTTAATTGCTTCTTCAAAATCAAAATCTTCAATATCATCCATATTTTCATCAAATAATTCTTGTTCTATAGCTTTCTGTATGACTGTTTTGGGCTAAAAGTTTGGATCAATTGATTTTATAGTAATATATTTAAATTCATTTTAATTATTTTGATATAATACTATACTTTGTTCATTATTTCTTCAGATGTTTCTATAATTTCATCATGGTTTTTATCAAAATCAATGGTACTGTTACATTTAAGTACGTTGTTTTCATTTTTATTATCTGATACATTTTTTAGAGATGATCGAGGAGATTTTAATAGCGTAGAAAATGATTCTAAATAACCTCTATAAAATAATAATTTAAAAAAAAACCATTTATAACATTTTGGTTGTTATGAAAGAACTTTCAGACTAATATATGTTATTACAATTAAAAACAAACATTAAATACTTAAATTCACTTTCAAAGATGATTGTAAAACATCTTTGAAGTTCATTTAAAAATTATAATACAAATTATAACAAAATACATACATACATACCTATACATATGTAATAGGATCAAAAATTTCCTAGAATTTTATTTTATTTTTTTATGCATACAATTTAAACTTAAATTAACTTAATCTTCTTCAAAATATTGTCCTTGGGAATAGACAGTGATGTAAAGAATACTTTTAAAAAGTAAATATTCAAATACATTTTTTTTCAAGTATATAAGATAATACTCAAATACTTTAACTGTATAGTATTTCAAATACTACTTTAAAAAAGTATTAAGAATACTTTTGTTTTTGAAAGTAGGTTTCTAATTAATCTAATATAGACACATAGTAGGTTTATAATAATTTTTATTTTATTTATTTATTAAATAAATGTTTATAATATTTTAAAAACATAATGTTTTCAAAATTTTCATCAGCCATAGAGCTTTTTTGGTCATGGTTACTCTATCCACTCTGAATAATTAACATAGAAATACAGAATATTCAATAAAACTATTATTCAATTATTATTTTAGTTGGCAATAATATTTTTGCAACCAAATATTTTGAATAAAAATAAAATATTAAAAAAAAAACCAAGAATTCAAAACAAATAAGTATATAATAGTATTTAAAATATAATTTGAAAATACTTTATCTTGAAAGTTTTTTAAAATTTATTCAATACTTAAAAAAGTATTTGAATACTTTTACTCAAATACTTTACAGCACTAGGAACAAATACAATTATTCTAACAAATTTTGCAACTGCTCAAAACATCTTTGATATCCTTCTGTTGGTATGACCCTGAGTTAGCCGCCACATTAGTTTTAATGACTTCAATTGTCACAATAATTTCACCTTTGGTCCAAGTTTTAGGTTAGGAAATAGCCAGAAGTTACATGGTCCAATATCTAGTGTATATGGGGATTGGGGAATTGTAAGAATTTTTTTATCAGCTAAAAATTGATGAACTGCAAAAGATGTCTGACACGGTGCATTTTTGTGGTGCAAAAACCACTCACTTTCCATTTCTCCAGCTTCTTTCAATGTTGTATCAAACTTTTTTAACGTTTTCAAATTTCAATATAAAAACTAGAATTAACTGTCTATTTGGAAAAAATCCTTAGTAAATAAACCTTTTGCAGCAATTTTTTCAAGTTGAAAATAAAATTTTATGTTAGCCCGTTGTTCAAGTTACGTAAGTCAGTTTAACAAAATGCATAAACTGTCTTTCGTAGGCTTGATAACGGCTTAGGCGGACATTTGGTTGAATTTTTTTTTTTTTTGGGGGGGGAGGGCTATAATAATTCAAAGTAAAATAAACCGCAGAATCTTCATTCCCAAACCCTCTTCCCATGTACAAGTAAAACTTAATACTATTAAAAATATAGATATGTTTAGATTGTATTAAAAAAACACTAAATAACGTATATTTAAAAATAATTAGTATTTTATTTTAATAACAAATATCTATTCATATCAGCATAGATATTCAAAATATCATCGTTTTATAAATTTTTCGATATGTCTTTTTCAATATATAGTAATAAAAGTCGCTGAACCTATCTTGAACAAACGATGTCCTTAGCCAAATTTTTATTTTTTTCATTGCTCCTCTTACGCAAGCAGCCGAACTAATTGGTATTGTTAATGCTATTGTAGTATTTTATTATTTCTTATTTTATGATTTTCAAAAAAACGAACAGATAATTATAAAAACAATAAATAATATTTCCAACAAAGTTTGATATTGGAGGGGCTATTCAAATATTTAGGGCTAAGCTCCCCCCAATGTTCGCCTACGGATAACAGTTAATGTGAAATTAATGAAGTTTTAATAATTATAACTACAGATATTAAATTATGTGTACTTTTAAATCCAAAAATCATATTTATGATAAGTAAAATAGTTTTTATTTCTATAAATAAATTCCAGGAACTTTTTGATCTTACTATGTATATATTTACCTAGTTTGGTTTTCCTTTTTAATTTTTTCTGTCACTCTACTAGGAATTAATTGAGGAGTTTTCAATATTTCTGGTTTAGAAGAATTATCCAATTCATGAATAAGATCATCAAGAATATCATCTTCATCCAAATTAACTGGAACCTAACAAATTACCAAACATTTAATTAATATTTTTTTAATGTTTTATTTATAAATAACTTTGTACATCAAAAACTCATTAAAATGAACACTTAAAAATGTACTATTAAAAGAAAATAAATAAATTTGATCCTCTCAATGAAGAAAAATTTTAAATTCCATACCAATGGATATTTCATTATCATTATTGAATAATATAAAATTAAATATCCAAAATGGGTTAGGTAGCACAATGAAAAACTTCAGAAAATTTATAAAACAAATTACTTAGGCTAGGTTCACATGGAGCGCGTACACACGCGTCGATCGCGATAACGACATAAGAATCTATTCCCGCTCGAATACACGCGTGCCTCCGCGGATTGAAATTCCATATATCATTATCGGACCGTTCAGTTGACACACGCGTTTCGATGCGAACGATCGAATTTTCATCAATAGTTTTTGAAAACAAGTCTTATTTTAAATATGGAAATTGAAATAGATATGTTAATTAATGAAATAAAAAAAAGGCCTGCCATCTGGGACATTGTAATCAGCTTCTAAGGAATCTTTAATTATCTCCAATAGGTCATCAAATGATTTAATGGACATTTTAAAGTAATTGAAAAATTTATCATGGTGCTCTATTAGTTTAGGATATAATGTAAGAATAATCTAAGACTTAAAGAAAGCCTTGTTTTCAAAATAGGATGAACCTAATATTTCCTTTCCGTCATTTGTCTGCATCTTCTCATCCTTCGGTGGACGGGCAATAAAGATACAGCATCTATCACATTCATTCTTCATGACAATTTGAACTATACTAAGTAGTAAAGTTTTTGACTAGAACATTCCCGTACAACACGCGTGACACGCAGCCATCTGAATGGTTATATGTGCGTTCTATGGCATGCTAACGTGCGTCCATGTGAACCTAGCCTTATTTTAAATCTATTATTTAGATACATCAAAAAGTCTGAATTACAATAACACAAACATTTTTGACATTATAGAAGATGGATTTCAGTGGCAAATTTGTCCATGCATTTACTGCATTCTGAGACAATGTTCAACTAGATGATTAACATAATTCTAGAATATTTTTATAAGATTAAATTTCATCATAATTTCTTTATACATTTTAAATATGTACTTTGAACTACACTTAGTTATATTAATTGCATTGTTTCAAACTAAGAATAAAATGTTCTACATAACAATACCAAAACATTAATATTAATACCTCTTTCTTTTTTTTTACTGGCATATTCGCAAACATTTTTTGAATATCTCTATTTGAAGGGATATCTTCATCAAAACTTTTATCAGCCCTACTTCTCTTTTTACCTCTTCCTTTCTTTTCTTCTTTAACAATAGATTCTTCATCCAAATCATCATCAAAAATTTCCCTTCCATCTTCAACATAGCCATCAATTTGATCTTAAATAAACATACACATTATTTAGCATAAATATAAATATTTAAGTACATATATAATTTACAATCATCAACTATCCAATTGTCCTGTTGTCGCTTTACTACTCTATCTGTATATTCTTGTTCTGAAACTTCTTCGTAAACATTTTGCATAGGTTCTACTTCATATTTATGTTTAGTTCCATCAGTTTTAATCTTTTTTAATTTCGCTAATGCTTCAAACCGACTGGTTTTCCCAGCCTTTTGACGTTTTGGTCTAGATGACTCTATAAATTATGTTAATATTAATATTTATATTTGTTTATATTAAATAGCAATCATAATAAATAATAATAATTTATTTAAACTTACCAGGATTATCATTCATTTTATTAGGAATGGTAAGGTTAGGAAAATTAAATTAAATTAATAAAAATTTTAATTACACTTATTTTAATATTTGTACAAAATAATCTAGCAACAAAATATGTAAAGAAATAAGTAAAACATCTAACAAATACATAATATAACCTAGAAGCATAAAGGATTTCCCGCCAATAATGCAATAACTAAATTTATTCTTTCTGATTATAATAATATTTATTGACCATGGTTAAAGTTGAAAATTTAAAATGTGTTTAATGTATTAGTGATACTAATACTTGTATGGTGATAATATGAATGTTTGTTTATGTACAATGTTTATCATTATACTTTGGACAAATTTGGTTTTATACTTTGATATTAGTGATTTGATTCAATGTTTTTTTGACAATATTCAACTTATTTCTTCGACATAATTTTGAACTTTTAATCTACTTTAATTTTATTATTAATATTATGCATAGTGTTATTATAATTAAGTGAATGATATGTCATGGATAAAGTATTAGAAATTATGGAAGTAGACAATGATAGTATTAAATCTGGTAAGAAATTATAAACATTTGTAATTTGTATGGGTTATCCAATTATTTATTTTTGATTTAAATCAATATATTATAAATATATAGAATATTGTTTATACTTATAATATCTAATTGCAGAGTTATTCTTTTTGATTGCCAAGTTTCTGAAGGATAGTCAATTTAAAAATGCTTTTGAGGTAAGATTCTCAATTAAACATATTTATAAATAGATTATTTTAATAGTCCAATAAATAGAAGTTTATGTTTAAGATAAAATTAAAACATGAAGTACTTTATGAAAATCTGATGTCATTTGAATAAAACTTTTTCTTTGTTTATTTATTTGTTTTTTATTTTTTATATTCTTAGGCACTTAAATCAGATTTGAATGAATCAAATGTAAGTTATAATTTATATTAATGATTATTAAATATTATACTGACTGAATATTTGTTTAATTTATAGATACTACCTACACGAATTGATTTTTTGGGTGATGAAAACCAGCAATCATTTGATGAATTGGTATTATTTTTTTTTACATATTAATATCTGAACCCTTTAAACTGTATTAATGCATCCATTTTAATAATGTTATATTTTCTTTTCTTGTATTATTTTTCTAATTATTAAAATTATTTTTGAAGTTTTTTTTAACCTTAATCAACTTAAATATTTTATACTATATAACAATTGTTTTTGTTTAGATATCTAAAGATTTATATTAAGAAAATTAATTTTTTTTTAGAAACTAAATTATTTTTTTTAAAATGTATATATTTTTCTTTATATTGAAGGGATGGTTAAATTATTTAGTATGAATTGCATATGGTCCACAATTGATAACTAAATTAATTACATTAGCAAAAATTAAGTACAAATTGTGACATTCATAGATTAATAAATATACTACTTAGTATATAATATTAATGTATCTATAATGCTATAATATATAATAATATATATAATAATAATATATATATATATATATATATATATATAATGTAATTTATTACCATTCATACTATAGCTTTTATAATATTTGGTATATTCGATGGTAAAGATTTTTTATATTCAATAATTTTGTAGTACTTAATTGTTAGTTTATTAATCTTATAATACATAATATTTAATATTTATTATTCTTTAAAATCCAATGATTTAATTTGAAAAAAATTAATAATTAGTTTAATATTTTTAGGAAAGAAAATATAATCATATAAAATCAGATCATTTATTAAACATATGTAAGCGAATCCGACTATTAAGCAACTATGAAAAGTCTTCTGTTCCAGTTGTTTTCTCTTTACTTGGAAAAGGAAGTTTTTCTCTTGTCAACACCCAAAGTATATTTATTATATATTATAATAAAATATTAATTATATTAAAAATACTTTGTTTTTAGAAAAACGTAAATACTTATCACTCACTGATTGTTTTACTCGTCAGCATAATGCTTTACCATTGCCTCCTATACATATTAGAGGTCATAATATTGGTAATTAATAGTTTAAGGTATGTTAAATAATACATTTAATAATTTAAATATATTTTTCAGTTAAAGTGCTTTTTGGTCGTGAAATATCAGGGTCAGTTGATAAAAGATATTTATTACCAGTTTCAAAGTTTTCAAATGTAGAATTTCATGGTCGAGTTCTTGGTCATTTAACTGCTGTTTACTGTGTTTGTTTTGATACATCCGGAAGATATATAGCTACTGTATGTTTTCAATTATTTACTTTCTATTAATATTTAATGCGGTTATTTATGTTAGGGAGCTGATGATTATTTAGTTAAATTATGGGAAGCAAGTACTGGTCGTCTTTTATCAACATTAAGAGGGGCTAGTGCTGAAATTACTGATATAGCAATTAACACCCAAGCTACACTAATTGCTGCTGGGAGCATGGATAAAGTATTAAGAGTCTGGTGTCTTCAAACAGCTAGACCAGTGAGTTGTAATAAAAATATTATATTGTAATTAAAAATATATTTTCTTAATGGTTTGATATGTAAAAAATGTCCTTCTCAATCAGCATTGACAATAATCTGACTAACACTCATGGCAATATAAAAATATTTTTGATTGAAAAGTCATAAATCTCTTTTTTTTTGTTTACTTAGATTGCTCATGTAGTAGCACATGCTAGTATGATTGTAACTGTGAATTTTTGCCCACAAACATTTAATGGTCTTGGTTATATAGCTTCTACTAGTACTGATGGTTCAGTTGTATTTTGGCCTTTTCGATCTAGCAATGGAAATACTATTTTTGAGTAAGTTTTTTTAAATTTTTTTATTTTAACTTATAGCATTTATATACCTTTGTTTATATTGATTTATATATTGTGTTTTTAAAAATTCTCATAGGCCTAATTTGACTGTTTATAATGAACGTATACGTCCTGGTAGTGCCAAAATACTTTGTGGTGCTTTTTCAGCTGGTGGCGTAATGTTTGCTACTGGTAGTGCAGATCATAATGTTAGAGTGTATAAAATGACCCCTCCATCACCAGATGCATCATCTCCAATACGATTAATGGAAGTTGAAGCTCATTCGGATACTGTTGACTCAATACAATGGGCTCATAGTGGCTTAAGATTTAGCTCTGGCTCTAAAGATGGAACAGCTTTAATTTGGGCTTACAAAAATCAAGAGTGGAAGTATAAAACATTACACATGACTACTAAATTAAAAAACAAGTTAGTTTAAGCAGTTTAATTTTTTTACAAATTTACATATAGATTTAGAATAAATATGGTTTGATCATTTACATAGCCTTGGTGAAAAAAAAACAGATGAAGAACTTAAACAAATTAAACCATCTGTAACCTATTTATGTTGGGATCAAAGTGATCGTTGGATTATAACTGCATGTACAGATATGACTATAAAAGTTTGGGATTCTAATACTACTGAACTTTTACAAGTTATGACTGGACATAAAAAAGAAGTATATGTATTAGAATCTCATCCATTTCACTCTAAAGTAAAACTTAATAATTTAGAAATAAATTTGTAGTTTTTATTAAATATTCAAATTTATACATATAATTTAAGATTTTATTGAGTGCTGGTCATGATGGCAAAATATTTTTATGGAATATTCTAACTGGAGAAGTATTAGTATCGTTTCAAAATTCTATTGAAGGCCAAGGTTTTGCTGCATTATATGATGCAAAATGGTCACCTGATGGAACAATGTTTTCTGTGACTGATTCACAGGGTCATTTATTAACTTATGGATTAGGAATACCCTCACCTCGTAGAAAAGTACTAGTAAATATTTTATGTATTTAATAAACATTTTTCTGATATTTAAATATATTATTTAGGTTCCATATGAAGTTTTTTTTCATACCGATTATCGACCATTGTTACGAGCAGCAGATTATTCAGTTTTAGATGAACAAACTAATATGGAACCACATTTAATGCCACCTCCATTTTTGGTTGATTCAGATGGATCACCATATCATCCAGAAATTCAAAAACTAGTGCCTGGAAAAGAAAATGAAGGTCTTTTACAATTAGTTGCAGATGTAATAATCAATGAACTAGGTTCGTAATTGTAAAAGCTATGATTTTATGGTTATAGTTATTAATATATTTATTATTTCTTCAACAATATATATTTTACTTTAACTCATTATTTGAGTTTATGTATGATTTTGTATTTTACTATAGTTAAATTTAGTAAATATAATTTTTTTTTTATAATTCTTGTACGATGAATTGAGCAAATCATATTGGTATATACACATACTATAATTCTTAATTATAAGGTTCAAATTAAATTAATTGTAGTTCAAAAGTTTGAAGTTTCAGATGTTGAATTTTAATATATATATAAAAAACATTTTTTTTAATATTTTATTTTAAATTAGGCCGAACTGAAGTTATTGGAATTAGAGGAACAGCAAATATGAACACTGTTGAACATTTATCCAATAATTCACCCAATCAATCACGTATGTAAAATATATTTTCTACATTAAACAGATTGATATTATTTACTTTGTTATTTTAGGAGTTATAAGTTTACATCCATCTGTAGAACAAAATAGTAGTTCGTTTTCACTTGAAAATAGACCAAAAATTATTTGCAAACCATTAAAACCATCAATAATGGAACAAATACAAAACCGAATGTATGTTTTTAATTTAAGTTTTATAATAAATTTTTTATTAATATTGTACTAATGTAAGTAATTATTTGTATAAATCAATTTATTATTTTTAATATTTAAGATTACCTACTTTATTTGTCATTAAAATTTATGCTTAACAATTTCAATGTATAGTTTGTTATACTTTTAAGTATACCTTATATATTTATATGAATACATTATAAATATTTTATAGTAAGTTATAAGTAAAAATATAATTCATTTTTAGAAAAATGTTGGGCATAATGGAAGAGGAAGAATTTACTATAGAAAGTGATAAACCATTAATAATTGATGAAAAACCACAAGTTTTATCTATTAAGCCTAAAAAAAGACCACAAGCCAAACATTCATATAGTACTAGAGCCACTATTGTTGAAACTGAACCACAGGTTTATTATTTAAATCTACTTTATTATGACTATCATTAAGAAAATTATATTCAATATTTGATTATTTATTAATATTAAAATTTTAGGAAAATAGATCATCATCTAATCCAGAAGAATCTGAAGAAGAAGATACTGATTATACCGATGGAATAGGTTCAGATGAAAAAGTTGAATCATCATCTGATACTGATTCTGGTACTAGTTCTGAATATTCTGATTGGGTGGCTGATAGTGGTACAAATCTTGAACCACCTAAGCGTACTCAACATCGAAGACGTCGTGTCAAAAGACCTACCACTCCTCCTTCTTCTCCATCACCTCCTTCTTCACCTCATGAAGGACCTAAAACTGTTCCTCCTAGGAAAGTTCAAAAAGTAAAAATTATTTTAAAAAAATATTGCAATTGTTATACAATTTTTTTTATCTAATAATATTGCTCATGTTTTTCTATACAGGATGTTCCAGAAATATACAGACCTTCTGAATGGTTTTCAGAAGTTTTACCAAAAAAGTCTCCTTATTGTCCACAAATGGGTGATATTTTAATGTTTTTTGAACAAGGTTATAATTTATATTTAGAAGCAGTACAAGCTAAAAAAGTTTACAAATTAAGAAAGTCACAATGTGCTCCATGGGGAGAATTAGAACTTAAAGTGAGAGTTAACTTTAAAAATATTATAATAAATATTAATTATAAATCAAAATTGCAAAGGTACCACAAATGGTAAAAGTAATTGGAATAAAATATGAAATAAGACCACCGCGCTTGTGTGGATTACGATTAGCAGTACTAAAAGAAAATGGTGACCATACTTCTTTTAGTTTTGATCTTAAATATCATGATATGCAAGATGTAATTGATTTCTTAGTTCTTCGTCAAACATATGAAGCTGGATTAGCTAGAAAATGGAAAGAAGGTAAATCATTTTGTGTTAATTATATTTTTTTATGCAATTAATTAATTTTTTTATTTACTTAAGGTCAAAGATTTCGAAGTATGATAGACAATGCTTGGTGGTGTGGTAAAATTGTTGAACAAAATAATTCTCGGTCACCATTTTTGTGTTATCAAGTTTTGTGGGATAATGGAGAAAAAGAAAATTTAAGTCCTTGGGATATGGAACCTATTAACCCTAAGAGTATAGATTTTTAATTTTTTGTTATTATTTTGGTATTTTATAAATTGTATAATTATTAATTATTATTTAAACCAAGGAGAACCACTGAATGGTATGTCATTACCAGTAACTACTAAAGAAATGAAAGATATATTGTATCGACCTGAATCTGGTAATAAAGAATGGCCAAGTGGATCTCGTGATTTAATTTGTGACCGAATATTACGAGGTCTACATGATCTTATGGGAATGTCACTTGCTGAACCATTTCTTGCACCAGTAGATATTCAGGAGTATCCATCATATGCATACATTGTGGAGTACCCCATTGACCTATCAATAATAAAAGTAAAAAATTAATAATGAAAAATAATAAATTCATAATGTTATATTGTTATATATTTTAGGCAAGATTGGAAAATCGTTTCTACAGGCGTTTGGCAGCTGTACAATTTGATGCTAGATATATCGCTAGTAATGCTGAAAAATTCAATGAAGAAGGTAGTGATATTGTGAGAAGTGCTCAAATCATCACAGAAATATTACTGACAATTATTAAGTATGAGTTACAGATATTTTTATCTTATTTTAAAAGTAGTTTACCTTTTTATTATTTAGTAACTGTATTTTCTTAAATCTTACATCTAAAAAAATAAAATACTTATTGCTAACTTATAAAAAATGGATAAAAAATTTGATTGAATCCATCTAATTAAAAATTGTAAGTAAATGTTAATATGTTAGAATGGAAAAATTGTTATTATCTTTCAAAATGTAATAATTGTTCTTTATTTTTATAAAACTGTTCTAAATATTTTTAATTTGAATAAAAAAATATATATAGTAAAATTAGATTGAGATGATACACGTTATACTGTCATTGTAGTTTTAATCTCAATTGTAAATAGTTTTACCTAAAATCAAATATTTATGGCTATAAAAATAAAAATTTGATGATGTTACTGAAACTTTAAATCTATTTCAGATCTTCTTCTCCTGTGGAAGTTCCTTCTCTATGTCGACAACTACAACAAAATTATAAAAATAATGAAAACGAGAAAAAAATTGAACCATCTGAAGATCGGTCTCGTAAATTAAGACCTAGATCATTGAGAGTAAGAAGGCGACGAGAATGTAGTCAACCTTTTAATTGGAAATCGGAATGTAAAAAATTCTTGCAAATGATGTGGTTATCTAATGATAGCAAACCTTTCAGGTAAAACCATAATTAATGTTGAATTTCATGTTTGTATATTTTTATTTTTATTCTTCCTTAGTGTAATTTAAGTAACAAGTGTGTGAATCTGTATGTATTTATTTTTTTTTTTATATATAATATACTATATATATTTATGTATTTTGTTACTTTATTTATATTTGTATAGTTAAACAGTATTATTATTTAATATTTTATTAATTTGCTGATTGATTTGCTATTTCATTAAAATAATAATATAATAAAACTATCAATTTGAATTTAATCAATTAGCAAATTAATAAAATATTAAATACTAATACTGTTTAACTATATAAATATAAATTTAAAATTGTAGAGAGCCAATTGATTATGATAAATATCCTGATTATGGACGAGTTGTTAGTACACCTATGGATTTGACATCCATCCGTGAAGATTTACGTGGAGATAATTATAATACTCCACTAGAATTCTGTGAAGATGTCCGAAGAGTCTTTAATAATGCAAAAATTTATTCAGAAGACCATCCAGATGAAAAGGTATTATTAATAATAACCTAATATAAAAATAGGTAACTTAAATATGACACATTCAAACATTCAATCTAATTGGGATTTTAAAAGTATGGGTTTTTTTTGCATCTTATTAAAAATTATACAATTTTTTTACTTTTATTAAAAAAAAACAAGAAAAATAATTGTATTCATTTATACAATATGTAATATTGATAATTGATTAAAGGGCTGGACATCTTTATTAAAAAAGGTGTCTAAATAACACTACTTCAAAATTCTAGTCTATTTCATTTAATACATTTTTCAAGTGACACCACTTGTTTTCTAGGTTTTGACATTTACTATTTTTCCGATAATATAATATCAATTATGAGTACCTATTGTATAATTTGTTACATTTATATAAAAATCATGTTGATACATAGAAAGTGTAAAACTAATGTTCAAATTTAATGTTAGGAATTAAAATCTCAAACAATGACTTAAAAACACTAAAATGCTCTAAAAAATAAAGAAAATTACCTTAAAATTTGTTTAATATCAAATATTAAACAAATCCAAAATAAAATTTCTTATACTCATTTTAAAGCGCTAAAAACAAATATGTGACAATACAAGTATTGCAGAACAATCTTTGGAAAACAATTCAAAGTGTATTAAAATTCCTGTCCTACTCATATCTTTAATAAAATAAAATGTTATGAATTTGCAGTATTACATTTTTTATCCAAACATATTTTCTTATACTTAAAATACAGTACCAATATTTAATTAAATAACACTATTAATTGCAAATTTAGGGTTGTGTTTAATAATTAAGTTTTTTTTTCTTAAAGTTGGAACAAATGACTCAATCAATGATCAATATGGCAGAAGAAAATATAACTCAAATACTACATAATTGGAAAAGAAAATCATCCAGGCGTCCTACATGTAAGTTAAATTAAAATTAAAATTAATCATTATCTATCTTATTATTATTTTTTAGCAGCTATAGTAAGTCATTTAAGTTCACGTCCTCAAAGAAGATGTCGCTTAAAAAGACAAAGAGATTTAGATGATAGCCCGACAGAAGATGAAAGTGATGCAGATTTTAATTTGAGAACAAAAAGACCACGAAGATTAAGAACTATAGCAATTAAAGAAGAAACAACAGAACAATCATCAGATGAAGAAGAAATAAAATTTGATCCTAATCAACCTTCAACTAGTTATGCGCATAGTAAGTTTTATTAAATAATAAATTTTATAACTAATTTTTGATTTTTGATTTTTAATTTGTAATAAATTCCAGATGAAAGAACTGGATCAAATCATATTAAAAGAAAAAAATCTTTAGATATGCCATCAACAAGTCATGAGATTAAAGAAGAAGTTTTAAATAATGATGAAACACCACTTAGACGTCATTCTTCAAGAATTTGTAAATCTACTTACCGTTTTCTAGACAATTATGATGAAAGTGAAGATGATGATAATACAATTGAACCTCAGCGGCCAAAAAGCTTAGTTAAACCTCTCCCAAAAGATTATGATAATGATAGTGATGATGAAGTCTTGCCACCAAAACCGTCTCGTAGTAAAAGACTTGTACGTGAAGACAGATTCGAAGTACCACCTATCACTAATAGAATTCAACCTTCACGTTTTCGAGCTGAAGAAAACATTGAAGAACAACAACAACCTACTAGAGCTCGATCTACAAGATTTTTAAACAATGAAGAAAGTGATCAGAGAGGAACAAGAAATTTAAGAAAGAAAAAACGTTGGAATTATGCTAAAATGTTAGATGTGTCTGGTGTAAGTAGTGAAGAAGGTACTGATGATTGGAAACCTGCTAATAGGTTTACCAAAAAAGCTTCTCTTCATAAAAATCGAGACATAAAGAGAAAACTAAAAAGAAAGTATAGTGAAGGTAGTGATCAAAGCTCCAATAGCAGCAGTGATGAAAATGATGGCAATGATGATGATGAAGATGATGATGAAGAAAATAGTGTTAATATAAAAGTATCTGTTAGTAGTCGAGGACGAATTAGGAAATTAACTGCAGAAGCCAAAGCTCATTTGTTTCGAAGAAAATAATTTAATTATAATATCTCTTCTCGATTTTAATTTTTATCATTATTTTTAGTTGAAATTTAATCATAAATTAATTTAAAGTATAAATGTATTGAATCAGATTCAATGGTTATCATTTTATCATTTTTTTGGTTTATTAAAAATATTAATTTAATAAATAATTAAAATTGAATATTTATAAATATGAATAGTTTAGTATGGTTTATTATAATAATTAATTCAAAGTTTCGATTTTCTTCAAAAAAGCTAATATTATATGCATGATTTAAGAAAATATTCTTTAAGTTGGTACCTATAAGAGTTTAAAAATGAACCTTTAGTGGTGTCAGTTCAAATGTAATTTACCACTATAACATAAATCAAATATGAAGGCACTCGCAGAAATAAATCTGGGGAACCTGGAAGTTTCTTCTTTACCGTCTATATGAAAAAACGAACCATAATACCTCGAATTAAGAACAACAAAGAAAATTGTAAATGGATGCCCCAAAACCAGTGCAGTTATAATTATAGGGCTCTTAAATTTATTTTGGTCTACATCCATATGACCATATTTGTTTGATTGAAATAATTTTTTTTCCAAATGCATGATTGCTTTGAATAAAATTAAAAATATTACAAATTCCTGTACATTTTTTTAATATTGGTTTGAATTAAAATTATACAAAAAAAAAAAAATTTCACCAATTGGTATTACTTAGGGCAGTTTTTTAAATACAATAATTAATTTATTATAAAAAATGTCAAAGATAATACTATAAAATTCATAATAGTTTTGATCAGTGATTTTTTTAATTTAAAACACTGAATATGTGTTGACTTATTTTACAAAATTTATCTATTACTTCATCATAATTTTTTTCTATGTAGTAGTTACATTACATATTTTCATAAAAACATTTAAATCTTGGGGCGGCTTTCTGAGCCCTGACACCAACTACAAACTACAATTAACTTTATTATGGTTATTTATTTGCATATTTGGCACTATCAACTCTTTACGTTTTATTCAACGATCTAAAATTCTAGATGAATAGTTATGCATTGATAGTGTGTTCCAGAGACCAGAGTGGGGCCTCCAAATGTATGTAGGCCCCGAGACCCACGAAAAAACCAGTACAATTGCACCACTTGGTTAACCTAACCCTACGTGGGCGTCTCTAGTCACAGATAATCTAGGTAAAACTCATAGATAATAAATAATATTTCTTTAATATCTATGATAAAACTACATCGTAGTTACCTTCTTACATACCTACATACATCGTAATTCTATGATAAATTAGCATAGAAGTCAGTGTACATAGCACGGACTAGTGATGGTAATCAATAGCAGGTAGCAGCTATAATCGCGAACTGCTATTCAGTGTAAACAATAGCAGTGATTGCTAAATTTCATATTGTGGTTTTTATGTTTTCCTATATTGTATTATAGCTGCTGTTATATTCATAGGTAATATCTATGGTTATATTATTCACAAAGAATTTGCAGCAGCAACTGGTATTATGTCTCATAATTTATAATGGGCTAAAATAGCTACGTTTCCAATACATAAGCGCACATAGGGGGGTGCTTAGCACTCCCTTATTTAAAATTAGCACCTCCAATTTCCTAGAATATTTATTTCAGTATTTCATCAATAAATTGTAAATTATTGTGCTTTATTGGGTTAGACATTTTTTTTTCCACTATAGACAATAATATATAACATAGTTAACGAATACATGATTAAAACAGTAGGTATAATTGTAAGAGTATAATTGTGACTGAAAAAACATAAATATAGGTATAGAAAATAAGATAACAAAGAATTTGGGTGATACTATTACTACAACACTTTCTGAATCCTGGAGAAAACATTTATTTTGGCCAAAACCTGATAATAAAAAAGGAAAAATAAAAAACAAATAAATCTGCCATTTGCTGTCTCATCAGTTAAGTGGATAGAACAACATGTAATAAAAGAAAAGGAAAAATTAAAAAAAGAAGAACTAGCAGAAAAACGAAATCGAAGAAAGGAACTTTAAGCTGCTAAACATTTAAAAGTAACCAAACCAAATAAAAAAATAAGAGGACAAAAGCTTATAATAAAAAAACTAATACACAAATTAAAATATGTTGAAGACGAAGAAGATGTATGCAGTATATTCTGCAATGAACCCTACAAATCATCCAAAAGTGGAGAATATGGATCAGATGTTATAGTTGCACTGGTTGGGCTCATGAACTCTGTGCTGGATATGACAATACAGCTGCATTTGTATGTGATATTTGTCTTTGATTTTTATAAATTATAAATGTTATGTTTAATATTATATTATTATACCAGGATTGTTATTTGTTTTGTTTTAACATTTTTTAACCTGTTTCAGTTATTTTAAAGTATTTTTATTACCTAGGTAAGTACATATTGTTTTTATACATTATAAAATAAATGATGCTATATTAAGTGTAAAATTGTTTTTATTTTTTAAATATATTACTAGTTTAAATTTTTTACATGATTAGATAGTAGTTCCTTACTAACTAATGCTAATCAGCAGTCTTGGCTATTTAAACATTTATAAAAAAAACCAAAAAGAAACATTAATAAAGTGGGGGGCTTAGCCTACAAAGCCCCCTTGTTGTTTGCACATATTTTAAAAATAATACTATACAATTTTCAAACACTGGGTTCGATTTGTTCAATTACTAGTCCAAAGTGTTCAATCACTAGGTAATTGTATTTTTTTTTTAAATATTATAATTTATCTATATATTGATATAAATTGATACTATTTCATTAATATTCATTTTAAATTAGACAAAATAATCAATATATTAGTTTAAAATTAATCAATATGATATAAAAAACAAATATATTAATAAATTCTTAATGTTAAAAAATCCTTAACTGTTCAATCACTAGACCGTATACACTAGCATTTAAAAAAAATTTGAATGCCCCTACTGCCATCACTGTATTCTTCATAAAGCTGTTTTAATCTATCTTATCTATTACTTTTCGGTGGTCGTCGAATAGTACCCAGTTGACGCTGTGCGACTTTAGTTTCGTCTGCTGCATTTTCATGCCGCATCTTGATAATCAATCTCCAAATTGTTGGATGCTTGTGATTCATCTATTTCAGTATTAGACATATTGTATTACATTATTGAATTTTAATACCTAATAATAATTACTTACTAAGTTTGAAAACCGATTATTCCATCCCTCGCATACATTGTTAGTCCGATCTCCATGGTTTAATGTTGCGTCTCTTACATTCCAGACAGATGGTGGAAAATTAGGAGTTGTTTTTCGAAATTTTATACTTGTATCCGATTGCCCGTTTCCAACTCTATTATACGCCCCTATATATGTGCGCTCAAAATACTCGAACAAATCTGTAGCTTCTTTAGGCATAACACTTTTTAAATATGTTAAACCTTGAAAAAAATCAAGCTATTTATAGACATTTGAAGTTTTTTTTTTATTTGATTACCTAAAAAGTCGAAAAAAATGCAACCAAAAAAAAAAAAAAAAAAAGTAAAAATGCAAAATTAAATTTGTACTGTTGAATTTTGTGTGACATAAGTCAAATTTCTATAAAGACGAGCCTCGAATATAAGCATTAGAAAAAAATGTTGCAAATGCATCAAGTCCTGGGCCCTAATCATAAGATTTTATAATTTTATAATAGCAGTTCAAAAATATTAATTTATGTAGTTACAAATTTATAAAATGTTATATACTAATCTAACCTAACCTTCCCATATTTTTTATTATTAAATTATATTTTACGTTTTCACTACTTACCTGTATTTTTTTTTTTTTTTTTTTTTATTAGATAAAATAGAATATTTACAATCTGTAATTTATATACATACAATAAGTAAATATGATGACAAAAAAAAAAAAGGTAGGTATAACGTGAATGGCGTGAGGAGGGAGGTCCACCACCAGTGTGGATACCCTCTAACTTGGGGGAGAGAGCTTTATTTTATTTTATTTTTAATTATATTTTTTTATTTTTTTTTTTTTTTCAATTAGTGCAGGTCGGGATTTAGGAGATCACGACACCAGTGTCTTTTTAATCGACGAGGGGGGTTATTAGGCATGAATTCACTGGCCAAGTTGGAAATCAATGGATTTGTGTGGTTAGCTATTTTGGTGTGTAACTTTTTGTAGTAGTTTTTGGCTGTTTTGGAGACTGTTTCAATTTTAAGATCCTTGTGAAGTGAGAGGTTTGAGACGTACCATGGCGCGGATATTATTAGGCGAAGGGAAATAGATTGGAAGGCTTGTATGGTCCGTATTTGGAAAGGCTTGGCACATCCCCAAATTTGTATGCCATATGCCCAGATAGGTTTTAGCATTGATTTGTATAATAGTAATTTGTTGTCAATAGAGAGTTTGGACTTGAGAATAGGTCGTAGTAGATGAAGTCTGGTGTTGAGAGTCTTTCTTTTAATTTTGAGGTGTGGGCCCCATGTTAGACGCTTGTCTAAAATTAGACCTAAGTATTTGGTTTGAGTTGTGGTTTGGATTGGATTGTTTTGAAAATAGATTGTAGGAATAACAGCTTTTCTTAAAGTAAAAGGAATGTGAAAGGACTTGTCTGTATTGATTTTTATTCACCATTTGGTGGGCCATTGTGAAATATTGTCAAGATGAATTTGGAGGTTTTGATATGCTGTTGTGGAATCGGGATGGGATGAGAGGATTGCCGTGTCATCAGCGTAAGTGGCTATCAGTGTATTTTCAGAGTTGGGAATGTCAACTGTATAAATGTTGTAGAGGTCTGGTGATAGATCACTTTCTTGGGGTACTCCTGCTAAGATTTTGAATTGTGATGAGAGGGAGTCTCCTTGGCGGACGAGAAATGAGCGGTCATGTAGATATCATTTGGTCAACAAGTAGAGTGGAGTCGGGAGGAAAATTTTTAGCTTAAAGAGCAATCCGGTATGCCAGACACGGTCGAACGCTTGTGATACGTCTAAGAATACTCCTGGGCAGAAGTTTTTGGTCTCAAACGACGAGGCTATTTTGTCGACAATTTGGT